TATATTCTATTCATTAAAGAATCACCGTAAATCTCCATGTATAAGGCGCACCTGTGTATAAGGCGCACCCTATTTTTGTTTTGTTTTTGTTTTGTTGTTGTTGTTGGTTTGTTGCCGAAAACCCACGCGAGAAGGACCTTCATTTAACATCGAGATGCAGTTAAAGGCGCTGATTTGCGCTTGTAAACTTGTCACAAATAATAGTAACAATGTCGTTTTTAGAAGAATGTGTAAGATCATTAATAAAAATTAAAAACAGTACCTAGGTCCTAGGATAGAACCTTGTGGTACACCATTTGTTATATAAAAACTAGATGGAATTTTGACTGCGCGCAGTCGAAAATGATGCCTCCGCCATAGAGCAATTTAAACAAGTTTGGAGTTTAAATCTCCAGTGCTTCTTGAGATATCATGATAACAATCTCAATGTATGGAATTTCATAAGTTGACCTCTGTGACCCTTGACCTTTGACCTACGTGCTCCAAAATCTAATCAGATTGTCTTCCTATGGTGATACACACTATCATTAAGTTTGAAGTTTAAATCTCCAGTGGTTCTTGAGATATTATGATATGGTGATACATACTATCATTAAGTTTGAAGTGAAAATTCTCCAGTGGTTCTTGAGATATCGCGATAACGATCTCAATGTATGGAATTTCATAAGTTGACCTCTGTGACCCTTGACCTTTGACATACGTGCTCCAAAATCTAATCAGATTGTCTTCCTATGGTGATACACACTATCATTAAGTTTGAAGTTTAAATCTCCAGTGGTTCTTGAGATATCATGATAACAATCTCAATGTATGGAATTTCATAAGTTGACCTCTGTGACCCTTGACCTTTGACCTACGTGCTCCAAAATCTAATCAGATCGTCTTCCTATGGTGATACATACTATCCTTAAGTTTGAAGTTTAAATCTCAAATGGTTCTTGAGATATCGCGCTAACAAACTCAATACAAGGAATTTCATAAGTTGACCTCTGTGACCTGTGACCTTTGACCTACGTACTCCAAAATCTAATCAGATCGTCTTCCTATGGTGATAAATACTATTCCCGAGTCTTAAGTTTAAATCTTAAATGGTTCTTGAGATATTGTGATAACGGTCAAACGGGACGGACGGACGGACGTACGGACGGACGTACGGACGGACAACCCGAAAACATGATGCCTCCGGCACCACCTTCGGTGGCGGAGGCATAAAAATTGAGGAATTATTATTATAAACTACATATTGAGATCTATTAGAAAGATTACTTTCAAACCAAGATGACAGACAAATTTTAGTGTTGTTGTAGTTTCCGAGTGGTGAGTCAACACACTGATTACTGAGCTGGGAGACATTGCCAGGCATAGCGCCATAAATCTAAACGAAAAAAAAAAAACTTTTTTTTTCTGTACCTGTGTATAAGAAGCACCCCCGACTTTCAATTTTTTTCGGCGGCAAAAAAGGTGCGCCTTATACACGAAGATTTACGGTACATTTCCTTATATCCCTCATTGAGCTAAATCAGAAAAAGTTTGAGCAAAATCGGATAAAGTTTGAGCAAAATCGGATAACTAATAAGAAAGTTATGAATTTTTAAACACATGAAAAAGTTTGAAAATCACAAACAAATTGGCAACTCAGTCATGAGTCTGTGACGTCATTACCTCACTATCCACTCATTGTTTTCTTTATATTGATGACATAAATTTCAAATTTCCACTAAAAAATCATATTCCCTCATAGCAGCATCCAAGTTATTTTGGCAGCAATATGTTTTTGTGTGGATGCACTAATATCTAGAGTAATTTTTTTCAGTAAAATCTGAATCATGAAAAATGTGAATTTTGATAAACTATTTAATATATGAGAAATGAGAATCAATAATTATATGCTATATTCAGAAAATAGTATCAATTCTTCAAAGTTCATAACAGATTTTGTGAAATTTCATGCAAGCAATATGATAGCCTACATATCATGTAACCTGGACAAAGGCATGGGGAAATCAAGTTTTTGGGGATATAAAGGGAAATTAATGGATAAATATATATAAAGCAATTGATAAGTAGTGAGGCAGTGACATCACAAACTGATAACCAAATTGGCAATTTGTGTAGTGATTTCCATACTTTATCAAAAATTCATAACTTCCTTATTACTGTAGTTACCCAATTTTACTCAAAACTTTTTTTGATTGGGTTTGTCTGGTTTTTCTGCTTCTATTGAAACTTAAAAGTAAGTTAGTTTTGGTGTGGACTTGGACTTTAAGAGCATTATTACTTATTATGACCTCAATTCAAGTCAAACAATTTATTTTGGTTCTTGAGTTTGGCCTTTATATTGGTCTTACTGAAAAACCATTGCTCGAATTCTGATCACATTATATTTGAGTATGGGCACTAGGGCAGCTGTTACAAAATGCACAATGTTTATCAGTAACTACATGTATTAAGAATTCCAGATCTAAAAAGGCACAAAGCACCTCTGTCCAAAATGGATTAGGTGTGAAAATGGCCAATTGTTTGTAATCCTCGGATCCCATATTAATTAGAGAGAATATGACAGAGGCAAAAATGAAAGAAACATATGATTAAAGTTTTGATCTAATGAGTCACTGATAAATTTTCTGATCCATGATATATTAAAGGTAATACAAAGTTTTGGTATGGGGTTATGAATTTGGTTCAAATGAACATATTGGGATATGCGATCCTACAATATTCAGTGATCGTTGTCGCGGTTGAAATCAAGTCTAAAGTTATGAAATTGTACATAATAAACTCTTTATGTTGTATAGCTCCCTCTCAAGGTCAAGATACTAATTAAGCTATAAAACAATGTTTCTTGACTAAAATTGACCGATTAGCTATTCCCATTCGAAAATTATATATCACAACTACATATTCTGAGATTTTCATGGTCGCAGCTCAGATTGAACGGCCGTAGGCGCTATTTGAAATTTATAAAAATTTACCGGGAGCACTGGTAAATTTTTATATATTCAATTTTTCTCAAAAGGTAGAATTTTTAAGGGGCTACATTTTCTAGCGCTTATACCGGTAATACATCTACAAGGGCATCCAAATATATCAAAATTATAAAGAATCACTATCCACCCAATTTTCAAAATTTTGTAGAACTTTGCAGGAATTATGAATATGTCATGTACATGTATGTCCTATCTATGAAATTTAAACATTAGCAGTGTCCTAATATTTAAATTATGCAAGGAAACCCGTTTACTTGCTAGACTTCTCTGTCAGGCACTATTGAGTGACTAACTGGCTTTTTTCATCTTTGGTAATAACATATATAAAATGAGCTGTAAAAGGGTACATGAACATTTGTCTACATAAATAACCCACTTCTTGTAATGGCCAAAATTAAACTGATAGAATCTTTGCGTAGCATAAAACTAACGACCAATCGGTACAATGGTCTGAAAAATCAGAATATTACTCACTGGTTCTATAGCTCCTAAGTCGATTCAACAACTAATAGTCGTTATTTTCCCACTTAAAGACATTTTCAAGCCCCCCCCCTTCTTTTAGGGACGTTTTAAATTTGTATTGTCTTTCAAATGCCGTTGGAATTTAACCATTTCATTTTTTTGGCCTGCAAATTTGACATAGTACCTTTAAGAGATTTTATATGTATGAAAGTATCTGTCATTTTAACTCCACCTTCCTTATAAAAATGACACATTTGTTTTCTTCTTATTCTGTCAGACATGTACATGTAAACAAGACAAAACACTGATTTGCCTCATTAATAATTTGTGAGTTTGGTTCTGGAATTGATAGAAACAGGTACACATACATGTACCAGTAGTTCAATTTTGCTATAAATAACGATTTAACAATGGTTACACATCCTACAGTCAAGGGGTCAATGATCTCATCAACCACAGGGTCATTCAAATTTTAATTTCTTTGATCTTTTCACAGTAATTATGTTCGGCCATCTGTGATAATTGTACCAAAAAGTTCTAAACCTAGGTACCCCAAGGCCAAGTAACCTTCAGATATCCAGTTCAATATTTATTGGTGTAAAATATCTGTTTTAATCTGAGACCTGTGCTTCCCGATCCACAATAAATTTAAGTTAAGTAGACCCTAGGGCCTAGCCTATTTTCAGTATTGTGGAGTAGTAGACTCTACTTAACTTAAGATTTAAGAAACCTATTTTTAGTATTGTACTAGTCGATCAGGGAAGCACAGGGGGGCGTTTCACAAAACTTGTCATCAATGACAAATGACAGTTTTTGTTATAAGCTACTGAAATCCTTGCTTCTGAATGGTTGTCAGCAGATTTGTCACTGATTTTTGGCATTTTTCATTGAAAAAAGGCTTTGTAAAACGGGCCCCAGGTCAGACATTTTCCACAAATACAAATTTAACCGGATATCTGAATGTTAGATCTATTTGAGGTAGACTCTACACCTACTGACCTAGATCTAGGTTAGTTCAGACTTTACTACCTCTGGCTCTAGATCTAGTACTAGTACGGCTACTACTAGTACTAGTAACTTAGTCTAGTACTAGCAGACTAGTACATCATCATGATCATGTTCCTGCCCTATTCTCAGCCGGTCAGAAGTTACTCAGAACACATTGTTACAAATTTATGAGTTTGACTTTGAGTAACTAACAATGCCAAAGGCAAAGGCAAACGATTGTCATGTATTAAATAGCATGCCTAAACTGCACAACCGATGTGTATATTCATCATTGGGGCAACACCGTCTCAAAAAGACCATTGAAGACAAATATATACACAACACACAACAGGGATTATTGAACATGCACAAGACATAGCAGAGGCAGAGGCATAGCACTGGCAGCTTGCATAATACACTCAACGTCTCAAGCAGCTAGTATACCAGTGGCAGCGCCAGACTCAGTCAGAGCTCTGCAGAGCAAGCGTCGAAGATAAAGACTCCATCTCATTCTCACTTCAATTCAGTCGATTCTCGCTGAATCATGAAAGCATTCAATCTTACCTAGCTCGCTTCATCTCCTTTCTCGATTATAAGACCAGCTGAACACAAAACAACATCCTTTTTCACCTACAAAATAACGAAATTCATGTTCTATGCATCTCGTCACTCCAGGCCAGCAAAGCATAGAGGGTCAATGCCAATATGCGTATCATCTCGCTCGTCTCGTCATGATCGCAAGCAAAGCATGCAGTACGTAGCGGCGCGCGGTTGTCCGGTCGATACGGTACGGCCGCCGGGTAGCGTCTTTTTTTCCGTAAGGTAGCCACCCTGTCGCTGCATTTGATTGGCTCAATAGGCACCTATACCGGAGTGTTGGCTCAGTCAGTAGAGCGTCCGCCTCACAACCGCGAGGTCGTGGGTTCGAACCCCGGCCGCGTCATACCAAAAGACGTTAAAAGATGGGAGTTGTTGCTACCTTGTTAGGCGTTCAACAGTAAGGGATAGAGCAACGTCGATCTGGCGCTGCTCAGTGGCTGCCGGGCTCACGATCAATTGGGCAAAAAGAATTTCCGTTTCGGTTTAATAAAATTTGGAGTGGACTATTAGGCTATACGTCATGCGCTAGTCATCAATATTCATGATTTTCATTTCATTTCATTTCATTTTTATTTTTTCATTTCCAACAAAATACAATACATAATAACGAATACAATGTAAAATATATACAAAACATAGTTACATTGGTAATAAACAAATCTTAATAACAATTTATACATTTTAGGAAGACAAAAAAAAGAATTTTAAAATTTAATTGCATTTATATTTTGAGAAAATGGAGAGGTCCACTGAAAAGCAAAGCTTGTAAATTGTGGACCCCTCAGATAATAATGAGTGTGAACAAAATATTGAATACATAATCAATGAAAGAAGAATAGTGGCCAACAGAGAACATTTATTAAAACACGTAATGACTGTAAACAAGAAGACGTAACAAATTACATGACGAAGAAAGAACAGAAAAAAGAAGAAGAAAAAAGGGGGGGGGGGAAAAAGGAAAAAAATGCGGGCTGCGTTTGGAGGGAAGGAGAGTGAGAGAAAAGGAAAGTTGTAGAGATCGAGCACGAAATAGGGAGCGCACAAAATCCTTGAGATAGCTGAAACAAAAAGAGCAAGAACATGATGGCAAGTAGTTTTTTGTTTTGAGATGGGCTGAAGAAAAGAGGGAAAGAAAACAAAATTGGGAAGGAGATGTTCCAACACAGTAATTTTCTAAATATTAAAAGATTGTAATAAGGAAAATTTTAACTTTTTTTTAAAGCAATTAGTGAAGAGGAAGTTTTCAAATCGTTATGTAAAGTATTCCAAAATTTAGGGCCTTCAAAAATGAACGTGTTCTGTGCAGAACATGTTCTCAAAAGAGGTAAGTGAAACTCATCGGATTGTCGAGTGGGATATCTATGAACAGCATGGTTTTTAAGAAACATATCATTAAACACAGAGGGCAGTATACCTTTATTGTAATTAAACATAAATTTAAGTGTAAAGTCCTAGAAGGACTAAGGAAGGGGATAGAAAATAGAAGTGAAATAGAAAGGCGAGAAAGTGGAGGTTGGAAGGAAGAGTATCTTTCGGAAGTAAGTAAGTAATAAACCTTCCTCTACTGTTATTTTGATTATACACTGTTACATGCAAGATTTTTTTTTCCTTTTTTTTCTATGTTCATTGATTGATGTAACTCATGAAATGTCTTGTATCAAAGATCTTGTTTTATATTGCTTAATTTGATAATTTCTTGTTATGTGAATTTCTTGTTATGTGAAATTATGAGGAAGGAAATAAAATATCATTTAAAACAAAAAAAAATGAATAAATTGACCGAGCTGAAATAAGTACAAATCCTTAATTTTTAAGATTTTCAAAAAACAGAGGATCCGTATGGGAGCGTATGGGGGCTTTACAGATAATACGAATAACTCTCTTTTGCAGCAATAGAACTCTTTCCAACAATGTATGATGTGTATTGCCCCAAACTAGAAGACCGTAATTCAAATATGGCAAGATCAATGAAGAATACAGCATAAATAATGATGATTGTGGTAAATACAATTTTAGTCTATTAATAACACCAATATTGCGCGAAATGATTTTACAAATATTATCAATGTGTGGTTTCCAAGAAAGTTTATCATCGACTGTTATACCCAAGAATTTGGTAAGAGGGACATGTTTCAAAGGGGTATTGTTAAAAATAATGTCAGAGGGTAATGAATCCAAAGAGTTACTAAATAGCATGTAGTTTGTTTTCTGGAGATTAAGTGACAATTTATTTGCTTGTATCCATTGCAATATATTTAATAACTCGGCATTGATTTTATCAACCAGGACGTTTGGATTTTTGTGTGAAAAAAAAATTAGTATCATCTGCAAATAAAATAAACGACAGGGAGTTAGACGATTTACAAAAGTTATAAAAAGAGTAGCGGGCCTAGCAGACCACCTTGTGGGACACCACAACTAATATTGCATAATTCAAATGCATGATCGTTTAAGTGTACATATTGCTTTCTGTTAGAGAGGTAACTCCTGAACCACTCCGAGGCCTTTCCACGTACACCATAGTGAGATAGTTTGTAAAGTAAAATTTCGTGATTGATCGTGTCGAAGGCCTTGGAGAAGTCCAGGAATATACCTAAAGTGTGTGACGATGTATCAATTGCGTGGGCAACCTTCTCAACAAAAGACATTAAAGCATGAACGGTGATGTGCTTTTCTCTGAAACCAAATTGGAAGTTTAAAAATACATCATATTTTTTCAAAAAGGACATCATCCGGATATAGATTATTCTTTCCAAAACTTTAGAAAATGAAGATAATAAAGAAATCGGGCGGTAGTTACCCAAATCCAATTTATCACCCTTTTTAAATAACGGAATTATTTTGGCTATTTTCATAGAATTAGGAAATTTACCATGTAAAAGTGATATATTAAAGATGTAAACCAATGGATCTGCAGTAAAGGGAATAATGGATTTTAGTATGACATTATTGATTCCATCATACCCTGCAGGCGCGGATCCAGGGGGGGGGGCCCGAGCGTGCCTTGGCCCGACCCCCCCCCCCCGCAAAAAAAAAAAAAAAAAAAAAAAAAAAGAGAGAGAGAGAAGGAAAAGAAGGGAAAGAGGAGAGAAAGGGAAAAAAAGAAGAGGAAGAAGAAAGAAAAGAGGGAAGTAGGAGATCGGGGGGGGGAGGACTTCCCTCCCCCTCCCCCCCCCCCCCCCATTAAAAAAAATAAAAGAGAAGGAAGGAAAGGGAAAGAAAAAAGATAAAGAGGAGATAAAGGGAAGGACAAAATAGAAAGAAGAAAAGAAAAGAAGGGGGATATCAGTTGCAATTTTCCCGCCAACAAATTGTGGATCGAGGGGGGGGGGGCAAAAGACCATAGCCTCCCCCCCCCCCTCCCGTCCCCGCTAAAAAAGAGAGAAGGAAGGAAAAGGAAAAGAGGAGAGCTAAAAGGGAACAAAAAGAGGAAGAAAAAAAAGAAAAGGGAGAAAAGAAGCGGAGATCAGTTGCGGTTAATCCCGCCAACAATGTGTGGAGCGGGTTGGGGACCAAAATGACCGTGCCCCTCCCCCCAGCACACCTAAAAGAGAGATAAGGAAGGGAAGGGAAAGTGAAAGAGGAGAGAAAGGGAAAGGAAAAAAAAAGAGAATGAAGAAAGGTAAGGGATATCAGTTGCAATTTTCCCGCCAACAAGGTGTAGATCGGAGGGGGGGGGGGGCACTGGCATACTGATAGGGGAGGGGGGGGGGGGTTGGAGAAATAGAATTTAAACGTGGTTTATTTATAATTCCATAACGGTGGTTAACAGATAATGCTGAAATGAGATAATTTTCCTCACTTCATGCGTTTGTTGGAAAATGACAAATTCCTAAATTTACAGCCAGGCAAGAAAATGCTTCTTGAGATGCCTACATATCAGGGCGCGCGGAACGGCGGGGATCGGGATCCTCGAGCCCCTCCCCCCCCCCCCCCCACACTTTCTTTGAAAAAGTATATTAAAGAGAAATAGAAAGAAAGAGAGCGAGAAAGAAAAAATAGTTAACTGCCAGTGTCACATTATAATGGGGTATCAAAATATGCTCATCTGACCATGATTAAAATTAATGCCTAAAATCCTAAGGGCTCTGCCCCCTGGATTCCACCTAGGGCCCTAAGGCGGGCCCTTAGATGCTCATATGACGGTCATTTAATGCCTAAAACCCCTGATTTCTGGGGGCTCTGCCCCCTGGACCCCACGCCAAATAGTGTCCTGCTAGTGTCACAAATAATAAGGTATCAAAAATGCTCATCTGACCGTAATTAAACGCCTAAAACCCCTGAGCTTCTGGGGGATCTGCCCCCTGGACCAAACCAAGAGCCCTTAGGCAGGGGGGGGGGGAAATTGATTTAGACAAGGATTAAGAGTCGAGAACGGTACGACTAATCTTCCTCTTTCTCTAATGATTTAATGAAAAGTAAAAGCTTCCGCGCTTTGCGCGGGTGGGGGAAACTAAATTATTTTCGAGAGCGGAACAACGAATCGTCTTCATTCTCTAAAAATTTAATGAAACGTCGAAGCGGGGGAAAACTGAATTTAGACAAGGATTAAGAGACGAGAACGGTACAACGAATCGTCTTCTTTCTTTAATGATTTAATGAAACGTAAAAGCTTCAGCGCTTCGCGTGGGAGGGGGGAAACTGAATTTAGACAAGGGTTAAAAGTCATAACGGTACAACGAATCGTCTTATTTCGCTAATGATTTAATTAAACGTAAAAGCTGTATTCAGACGAAGATTATTTTCGAGAACGGTACAACGAATCGTCTTCTTTCTCTAATGATTTAATGAAACGTACAAGCTTCGCGCGGGAGGAAGGAGGGGAAAACTGAATTTAGATGAGGATTAAGAGTCGAGAACGGTACAACGAATCGTCTTCTTTCTCTAATGATTAAATGAAACGTAAAAGCTTCCGAGCTTTGCGCTTGAGAGGGGGATGAATTAAGACGAGGATTAAGAGTAAAAAACTGTACAACGAATCGTCTTCTTTTTCTAATGATTTAATGAAACGTAAAAGCTTCCGCGCTTCGCGCGGGAGGGGAAAAACTATTTTCAGACGAGTAGGCACGTACGGAAGAGGGGGGGAGGGGGTTAGGGGGTTGACCCTACCCCCTTCGGCTTTTTAAGTGCGTATTTTTGA